GTGTAATTTAAAAACCAATATACAGTAAATATCAGGCAGTGGCACCAACACCATTCACTTACATCTTAGATAACTCACACAAAATGCCAGCCAGCCATCAGTTTAGAAGACCTAGGAAAATTGTCTCCCTCCAAGGAAATGATGATCTATCAATACAGTTTGGCTTCCCCTCCAGCCCTGCACATTTGTTTAGAGTATGGAACGTATAATGCTTTCCAGTTATTAGTGATTTAATTACTCCTAGTCACAGTAATATTCACAGAGTAAAATACATCAAATGTATATTGAAAGTATTGGAAACTTCTGATTTTTATCTCCCAGGATACAGACATTTGTTGCGGGTTGTTTTCAAACCAGACAGACCATACTGAAAGAACCATGACACAGGCATTTTTTTCATTTCCCTCCATTGTTTCCCCTCATTACTCAATTGTTTGTTGTGTCCATTTAGGTCTAGAAGGACATTTACTGGGTTCTCTTTACCTGTTAACATGGAGATTTCATATTAATTACTGTACAGTGCCTCCTTGTCATCAAACATTTACAGACACCATTCACATTCTGATACCGGGACCCATTTTTCTTTCTACTGCCACAGAGGATTATGGAAGTTTGAAGATGAAAGCTTTTTTCCATCCCCCTTCCCATTGCTCATTCTCACCTGCAGGCAACATCAAAGCAGAGATTATTATTTCTGCTTTGTGTTTTTTTCCTCAAAGTCATCTGACAAGCATAGCTAGAAAACATCATCTCAGAATCTGCCTGTCTGGTGCCACTTGGGGTCTCTGACACCAGTGGACTATCAAAGTATACTGTGATAGAAGCAGGGTGGAAGACAAGACAAGCTTCACCTTCTCACCCACTTCCTTTAGATCAGCCATTTCTGAGATGAACAGTTCCCTGACACCTCTCTCCCTCAATCCACATGGCGTGACCAAATGGATGCTTTCAAAATTTATCCCTTACCTAAGGTCACAAATTCCAAGTTCAGGCAATTTCCTGAGTATCATCTAAATGAGATGATCCAAGCTCTCCCTACAGCTTTGAACTCAAAATGCCATATTCATACCTGATTTAACTGATGCCACCGGTTTCAACTGAACGATTCGGCTAAATACTCCACTGCAGTCTTCCATATATTTTCAGCAGCTTCTCAGAGCAATGGTAACACAACTGATGTGGGGAAACAGCTCTTAGCCATCATTTGCTTTGTACTGATCTCACCTTTCATCCAGGTTTCTTTTCTTGCTTGTGCCTATGTCAACGTGCATTGGGATACACTAGTCCGGCCTCTTACCTCATAACCAACCAGAATCAGAGCCCCTGGATTTAACTGCTATTCCAGGGTGTCTCTCCTCATTTTACCCCTGTCTAGCACAATCTCTGTGACAGCACAGCATCTGCTAGGAGGATTACAGGCCAACACCTTTAGGAGTCATTACCAGAAGTCTTTAGATGAAAGGAGAAACCCCATTATACCTAAAATCACCAAATCCAGAAACCCAGCAGACACACCTTCATGGACATTTAACAGGCATATCTAGTTATTTCATTATTTTTGTGCACTAAAACAGCAACTTCAAGAGTCAATGATACCACATAGAAAATATTCAGACAATATTGCTTAAAGCTTGTGACCCTAAAAAGAGATAGGTGTGTTTACTTCATATTCTAGTCTTCAGATTTGGAATTTAATTCCTGTCCCATATTGAACCAAAGAATTGAAATCTCAAACATTTTCATGAACTGACAAACTGAATGAATGCTTGGCTTAGGTCACTGAAAATAGGTCACTGAAAACTATTTACTTAGCTCCCCCCTTTTACTTTTACTTTTAAAATATAAATTAATTTAAATTTTTGGGGGGGAGTATTCTTGTCTTAGAAAAAGGTCAAACTTTTCCTTTAGAAAATGTCAAAATGGGACCTCTGACAATTTTGAGGCATATTTCCAAGATTTTTTTCAAGTTGGGTAATCCATTGGAATTGACCTTTTTCCACAAATAGTTTCCAGTTAAGATGACCTTTCATTGAAAAACTCCTGAATGGTTCTACCTTCTACTAAAAATCAATGGGAGACTAATCATAGGAACAGACCTAGGTGTCATCTTCAGCATTTTCAGTAAACATCTTATATGGACAAATGCCTGGATGGCCCAGGGGGGAGATAATAGGCTACAGAAACAGAGCCTTTGACTTTATGGCACTGGTTCACTTATGCTTAGCACTGGCCTAAAGCATATAATTTCTAATGTCTACTTGGTGGCTTTTGAGATAATATTTACTGCTGTTTATTCTACCAGCAAGGGAAAGGTGTCCACATCACAAAAAAGACACTATAATTAACCCTCAATCAGTGAAACACTCAGCAAAGATTCTAAGAATCTGACTGAAAGAGGATTAGTGATATGGTACTTTTCTGCCCCTAAAGATGATCCTTGTAGATCAGGATTGAAACACAATAGCTGGGCAATAAAGGAAGAGGATCTTGCACTATTGGTGGACATCCTCTGCGTCTTGTGTGGATAAATAACAGAATGCATTCTCCAGATGTGTCAATAAATCATCTTTCTTGACACTAAATTCACTCTAAGGCTGGTTGCTTAATGCACACTATCCCCAATTATTTCAAGTCAGCTTCTTAAACCAGCACGAGGGCATATGTTTTTGCCAAACAGGCAAACCCACTTCAGACTGAATGCTGTATTGATACACCCTCCCAAAATGTACCCGACACTGCAACATTTCAAACTTCAGTCAGCAAACACACTGCTCTCTGTAAAAAGACAGAGTGAGCTGACTTGTAAGGGACTGTCAGGGAGCTGTCAGCTTGGATCCTGTTGAGGAAGAGGGAAAGCGGAGGCTGTTGCAAAAATGCTAGGTATGCTGTTTGTAAGTCCCATAGGGGGAAACTAAGTGATTACGTTCCATATCTGAATTTAAACAAGAATCACTAATGCTATAAACAGTGGGAGGGAGTGGAAGAAAAGCAAATGGTGGCTCAGAGGGTTGACTCTGTTGCTGGTTGCACTGCATAGACTGGACTGCATGCCTCGGTGTGTTTAGTAGAACAAAGCTAGATTCTAACCAAACTGTGATCTAACATTAATTCAACAGACAACACAGGTGTACTGAAGACAAGCCAATAACACAGTGTACACAAACTATATATAATACGGACTATGCAGATTGCCTAGACTGAAGCAGTAGATAAAAAGCTCAGCTTGGAGCAAGAGCTGTTCCTTCCTTATTTCCTTTTCTGTTACAATATCTTCTTCTCTACAAACTCCTGGCTAATTCAGGAGAAGTCAGGAGCCTCCTTTGCAACAGTTTTGTGACAAACCATGGTAAAAATAGCACATATGCAAATGCCATAGAGTCTGTACATGGCAATATGTAGGCACTGCCAAAGAATCACCAAAATGGGATGAGCATTAAACAGTTGTGCTGTAACAAGCCCAAGCATCATGACAGTAAAAGCAAGTACAGTCCTTTGTCCCCTTTGCCATTCTCTCAAATTTTCACAATAGTGTCTTCTCTATACAACAGTCTCCGATGAAAAGTCAGTGCCTATTCACTGTAGTTATCTGTTTCCTCTCCACTAGCAACAGGAAATAACTGTGGGAATTGAGCAGTATCTGCTGGCAAGCACTGACTTTTCAATGGTGAATACTATATCATCAAGTTAGGACTTGGCAGCCTAGCCAATGCATTTCCTTGTAGTTGCACAAAACCTTAAGGTGTTGTTGCTATTGCTATTATTTTTATTATTATTGGCCACATCTTCCCTTCTTAGATAGTAAAAAGTTACCTTCTCCAATTAATATCAACAATAGAATATGCAAAATAAACTCCACCCTTCCTGGTGTGTCTCCTTGTGACATCCCTAGAGAGACCAGATGAGCCCCTGCCCAACATAATTCTTGCTGCAAATCAATGTTCTTTGTTTCTGTCAGGTGAGAATGAGTTAGGGATTTTCTCGGAGTTTAAGAAGCCTTCCTGCAGATACTACACTAGTTGTCCAGTTTACATTTAGTTGGAGAAGAAAAAAAGTATCTTGATAGATCCATTTCATTCTCCTGGTACTTGCTGGCTTTAACTCTGACCTACATGCTTCTCCTCTGTTTTATTCTAGCACACAATTTGTTTTGTGTATTGTGGTGTGTGCTGGGCTGTGTGTTTGTGTCTCTCTGCAACTGTGAATAACAGTCACTTTCCACTCTGCACCATCTTGCTCTATCATGCCACTTACGTGCCCCACAAAATGCCTGGCTTGTTACTTGGGGCAGAGGGTCATATATATCTGATAGTGCTAGGCAAACATGACATGGCATATTTCTAGAGTTCCCATCCCCCCATCTGCCTGTCTTACCAGTTCTTGATGCCCATCAACAATGGCATCACCCTTCCCAGGAACACCAGCCTCAGTGACAAACATGAAACCTGGTTCCAGCTGCCTCTCCTCCACCTCCTACTCCTCCTCTTCTATCCTGCTTTTTCCCCTCACCTTCCATTGCTTCTTATGACATCTGTCAAGGTCCCTGTTCCTGAATTGTATGTTTTCACACACAACAGAGTTGATCTGTCCAGCAAAGTTCTTCCATACCTTGGCAGGATTTATTAACTCCCCTGGAGCTTAAATGACTCAAATGTCTCTTATTCTAGTTTTCACTTTTCCTTTAATAGGAAGAAAATCCTCCAAACCCCTTTCAATCTCTGATTCACAACGGCATTTTTTAAAAATCGCCTCAGCATGTTAAAAAATATTCCTTTGAACTGCCTTCTCAGACTGAGAGAGAAGCAGACACCTAACTGAGGTTCATTTTTCTTTCACAGGCACATTGTTATCTAGGATGACAATAAAAAGGAAATAAAGTTATGCGTTTCTCCAATGCCTTAAAAATAGAGCATAGAACATTATCTGATATCAAAGAGGGGAGCCTATATTTACACACACACACACACACACACACACACACACGGAAAAATCCTAGCACTTACCTTTGAGAAGTAACATTTATCCCTGGTTTGGTAAAATAATGTCAGACAGGCACTTAGACCTTCTTTCTATGCCATGCATCTTTTTTTTTTTTTTTTGAAAGGAGATATAATCAGAAAAATCCCGGGTTCATTTCCAGCTAAAGCAAAATGCAGACTAGAATTGTTGGCAGATGGAACCTGATTCAGAGAAGTCCAAGTGAATGAATCCCTGAGACTCCTTATTCAGTAATATCCAAAGCAATGAAAAAAAATTAAGAAAAGGGGGGAAAAAGTGATAACTTGTTCTTTTTCTCGTCTGGTTAAAAAAAACAAACAAAAAACAGGTCTTGGAGGACTAAGCAGCCTGCAGGCTTTTCAAGAATCCTGATCCCAGTGCATCCCAAGGTACCACATGCATTTTGGCATTGCAAGTCTTCAAGTTCATATTAGCAAGCCCAGCTTCTATGTATGTGTGTATGTGTGTAAGAAGGGGGGGGGGG